ATATACATACGTACGTATACATACGTATACATACATATACATACGTATGTATACATACGTATACATACATATACATACGTATACATACATATACATACATATGTATACATATGTATACATATGTATGTATGTATACATATGTATACCCGTCTGCTTCAAGGTTCCACATGTTGTGCGTTCAGAGATGCTGTTCTGCATACTTTGGTTGTAACGAGTGGTTATTTGAGTTACTGTTGCCTTTCTATCATCTCCAACCACTCTCTGCCCATTCTCCTCTGACCTCTGAGATCAACAAGGCATTGTGGTCCACATAACTGCCGCTCACTGGATATTTTCTCTTTTTCGGACCATTCTCTGTAAACCCGAGAGATGGTTGTGCATGAAAATCCCAAGATCAGCAGTTTGAAATACTCAGACCAGCCCGTCTGGGACCAACAACCATGCCACGTTCAAAGTCACTTAAATCCCCTTTCTTCCCCATTATGATGCTCGCTTTGATCTTCAGCAAGTCGTCTTCACCACGTCTAGAGGCCTAAATGCATTGAGTTGCTGCCATGTGATTGACTGATTAGCTATTTGTGTTAACAAGCAATTGAACAGGTGTGCCTAATAAAGTGGCCGGTGAGTGTACATATGTATATGTATACATACGTATTGGTCATTAGTCTTTATTAATCATTTGATCAATTGATTGATAAACACAGGGTTGAAGTATTACACTTAATAGAAACCAATCTAGAGGCATCCTGTTGACCTCTGGCCCCTTACCAGTGAACGAGTGCAGCTCTGCCTCCATCCACAGCCTCCTGAATGAACAGGAAGCAATCGTCCATGTGACTCAGGAGGTCAGAGGTCACCTCATCCAGAACATTGACCCACTTCCTGCGGAAGCCCCCATCAGCAGGAATCAGAGGGGCGGGGTCCACAGAGTCCACGGACAGGATGTGAGTGACAGCTGCGTCGGACAATGCCTGGCTGTCATTCAGGTCGGCCGCAGTGCCGATGTACAAACCGGGGTCCACCAGGAGCATGACTGCAGAGACAGACACAGAGCTGACCCTAATGCTGCTTTAAAAAAAAAAAAAAGCTTCTTCATTTTTTGGTTCTTTCTATGATTTTTGACTTACATGTGTTAGATATTTTGGTTATAAAATGTAAAAAATAAACAGACTGATAAAAAGTATCAATACATGGCAATTAGAAAATAGTAATACAATTTTTGTATTTGCTGTGTTACTTTTACTTTGGAGTAATATATTCCTTTATTTCTTATTTATGCATATTTTTAATTTACAAATTTGATGCCTTTACATAATTGTTGCTAATGTGGGACGGGTCACTGTATTAGTCTATGGCTCCTTGTCCTCTCCTAGCACTGCTGTTGACTGCTGTTTGTATACATGCTATTTGAAGTGGTGTGTTTTTTTTAGCTACACGCCTGATGAAGGAGACTGGTCCTGTATCCTCTATAAAGCCGAAAGAACTGAAAGTGACAAAAAGGGATCTGCCTTGACTTGGACCTCAACATTTTGCTCATGCCATCTCTATAACGATGACAGCCTGAGGATGCGGTAGTTAGCTCACCTCGTTAGCCTGCCACTTGTTTGAGCTCTCCAGGGTAACTCTGCTGCTTTGGTTGCTCGCTGCGTTCAACACGTGACGCACTGACTGAGTAAAAAACAACTGACTACAACAACTCAGGAAACCGAGCTCGATACAAAAGAAAAAACGTGTGGACACTGAGGCAGAGGCAGTTCAGAACGTTAAGTCATGAAGCATCTTTCACTCATGCTTCGACTGAGGTGTTTAGTTCGACTCTGACACTGTCCGGGCGAAAACAAACAGGCGGGCTCTTTAGTTCCGGATGTAACCCATCAGGTTTTAACTTTATTTTGACATATTTTACCGAAAATGGAAGCTAAATAGTTATTATATAGGGTCAAAAATGTTAGCAGTCATGTTATTGATGTGCTGAATTGACAGGATAGGCTACTGGCAGGGGCGTGTCTAAAAGGGTGGCAGCCCCCTCCAAGGCCATATTACCAGGGGCGAATCCAGGTTTTGTGCGGTGCCACTTTTCATGTCACAGGCTTACCACATATGTCATTGTTTTCAAAGACAATTTTCAAAGCTTGGTTTATTTTTGATAGAAGTTTCTGATTTCTCATGAGCCGTTTGGTTGCTCAAACCCATATTGTTTATATGCTAGATAACTGTTACTGTACATCATAGGCCTACTAGTTACATTTCCCATTTTAACCAGAATGTGGTGTCACTGGATGTTTTGTGATCTGTTTTCTGAAAATTAACAAAAGTCAATAAACAGAGTTTTGGAAAAAAAAGTGGAAAATCTAGGTAGATAATAAGTGAGGCTAAGACTCATAGATACGTTGCAATCCAAAGAATCCAGGAATAATAGAATTTCACCTCACCTTTTCACAGTAGTCCTCAATAAATCAGTGCTTTCTGACTGGTCAATGTATTACTGTTGAACATGATACATAGGAATACTCCCTAGTGGAAGTCCAGGTAGGATTCATGACTGCCATTTTAGAAATATTTAAATCAAACAATTAACATGTTTGTGAAAAAATATATCAATACGTTGATCCAACAAAAGGCTCCCAATTTGAATTAGGTACATGTGACGTGGATATGAAGCTTAAACTAAGGACAATTGAGGTGACGGGAAGACTAAGAGGGTGAGGTAATGCAAGCAAACACTGATCAGCAACCCGCAGTCCCATCGGGGAGTTAAAAGGAGGAGAAAAAAAGGGGGTGGGGGGGTTTAAAGGAAAGGTTGGGAGTCCAAAATGGGCCTCGTCTGCCTGTAGGGTGGGAGGACCTCATCCGGAGGGTATGTCTCCACCATGGCAAGAGTTAAAATAGATTAATTAAATTAAAAGACAAGAGAAATATAATTATAAATAACAGATAGTCAATAATTTAGGATAAAAGCATGCATAATATATTAAAACCACACGTGAAGGATAAATATATAAATATATAAAAATAAATGAGTAAATAAAGTAAATAAATAAATAAGAAATAAATAAGAAATAAAACATGTATATAAGGGAAATGCCATGGTGGAGGTATACTGGGGGGTGGGGGAAAGGGAAGAGGGAGGGGATTAAGATATGGCAGGCGAGGCTCCTGGATAAAAAGGGAGGGGAAAAAGTGGGGGTGGGACCATGGAGAACAGGAAGTGGTTTGTTTCTTAAAAGAGGTTAAAAAACCTGGTTAAAAAGTTGGACACAGTTAGTACTTCTCATTAAGACCATCAGGTTCTATTGTTTTTAGTCTGTGTATCCATTTCCTCTCCGCTGCCCGCCGCTGTGCCACACTCCAATGTCTGTTGCTCTCAAGGCCCAAACTTTGTACCCTGTGTGAGCCATGGAGTTTAAAATGTGTGTACAGGACGCTCGTACCATTGCCACTGTTGATCATGTAAATATGCCGTTTAATTCTAAGGTGCAGCTCGTTACCTGTCTCCCCCACATACAGTTTGTGGCAGGCCCCGCACCTGACAGCGTAGACTGCATTTGTAGCCGTAGGCTGCAGGGCCTGCCCCAGATTAAAACCAGTCCTCGCATGAGGGTTAAAAACGTGGGGGAGGCGAATAAAAGCGATTCCCCGCTCCCGCTGGGCCGCATCTAACTCCAGCTCCCCGTGTCCTGTCGGCGGTCCGACCGACTCCAGCTCCCCGTGTCCTGTTGGCGGTCCGACCGACTCCAGCTCCCCGTGTCCGGTCGGCGATCCAGCTGACTCCAGCTGTCGCCTTCGTGCTGCAGACACTTGTAATAACAATTACGCTAACACGTGCAATACCTCTGAAATGTGATGGCAGTCCCCTGGTGTTGGTACTCGTGCAGCAGACAGTCAGTCAGGTAGTGAGCAGGTAGTGAGCAGACACAGGTAGTGATCCCGTTCCAGCCATCTGGATCACTGTACTCTCAGAAGGGAGCTGCCTTGGTTTCCTGTCTGATGAACTGAGTGATGGTTCTTTGGTCGTACTTTCCTGCCTCAGCATCCATGATGTTTTGGCAACTGAGGAGTTAGGCCAGGTGAGCAGGTTCAAACTTCAGGTGCATCATCTCCATGATCTGCTTTGCCATGTCGGTGGGTGAGTTACCTGTCCGCCTGAGCTCGTCCATATCCGATTTACATATGGCCTTATTGTAGGTCATTATTGCTAGGGTTGGGTACCGAAAACCGGTGGCAATACGACCTATACGACCGGTATCTACCGGACCGAAACGTAACGCAGATTTCGGTGCTTCCTTTCGGTGCCTGAGCCGATTGAAATACTTTTTTTACACTACTCTGATGACTCCGTCCTGGCAGCAGGTAACGATAGCCTCGGTCCTCCGCTCCTCACTCATAGTATGGACGAGCCGTGCGCGCTTAGAAACAAACCCCTCCATCATTCTGGCGAAGCTTCGGCCATGATTTATTACAAAAAACGAGACCGAGGGTACATCCCAAGTCTCTTAATTCTCATTTCCTCGCTCCTCGATCCTCTGCTTGAACCGGAAGTTGTTCTGCGCCGCCATATTGACGGCCGTCCCAAAGCTCTTATTTAGCTCTGAGGAGCGAGGATCGAGGAGAGAGGAGGGATCTCTGAGGAGCCATGAGCAAGGACACAGTAGAACAGACTTACAGGAAGTCTTTTAACGGCCGACACACCCCCTCATTGTTCATCTGTCATGTGATTGGACGCTGCAGCCGATCGGACTGATGAGATTTTGTTCAACATGTAAACAGTGAAGACTGATCACAGATTAAACTCAAGCTTTATATTTGATTCGTTTTCTGATTCAACATCTGGTTTAAATAAATGTTCATTGTAGACTGAACAACAAAAGGACCACAAACAACTTTCTTCATTTATTAGAAAGATTTGTGTTTTCATGATCTGAACTTTTATTATGGAAACAATTAAAGTCAGAGGGAACTGGAGAGACGAAACACTTTTTACATCATTTATCATCATTTCATTCAGTCACGTGAGGCTGTTCATTCCTGATTGTCGGGTTTGATGAGTTGTATCATTTAAGAGAAACAATAATCATATTCTGGGTTATTTAATATCGACGTCACAATCTGAATTTCAAAACGTACAGACGCAAATAATTCATAAATAAGACGATCGCATTCTGCCGGTAGAAATCGATCCTGCGTTTATAAACAGAACACAGGACAGTTTGTGAACAGACTACAGAGAGAAACACCTCTACAGTGGTGATTACTGTGTGTCTTTATTAGTTATTAGTATTATTAGATACTATTATTAAGTACAGTGATCATGTGAACAGACACAAACTTCTCAAAAGTCTCTCCAGCTGTTAAAGCCGACTGACAGCTGATCCAGCTGTGATCAGCTGATCCTCCGTCATCAGAAACAGACGTCGCTTCACGTGACGCAACTGAGGAAAGGACGTCTCATGTCTCTTAAAACATATTAGGCTCGTTCGAGTTGAACTGCGCCTCAAAACGTCTCTCTCTGACTCGTACCTCTGACAGGACAATAAAACATGGTCCACGGTTTCTTCTTCTCCACAAAATGTACACTTTCCATTATTATGCTTTCTAATAACATCGAGGGAACTGTTCAGACCAGTATGGCCATTCCTCAGTCTTGTCATAATCGTCTCCTCTTTTCTAGTTCGTCCACTAGATCCTGCACTCCCAACCAATGGTTTATTTTTAAACAGATATCTTCCTTTACTCCCTTTATTACATTCGTTCTGACATATCTTTTTAATTTGTCCCTTAATCATCACTTTAGCTTCTGACTTACTTATATTTACATTAACATTATTTTTCCCACTCTTCAAAGCCCTTTTTGCTGCTTTATCTGCCTTCTCATTGCCATCGACTCCAACATGAACCCACACTAAATGAACCGCTATCCGCATTTGATGGATTCTTAAAAATGATTGTAGTATTTCAAACAGTAAATCCTCTCTGCTTCTGGAGTGGCACAATGTCAAACTCGTTAGCACTGCACATGAGTCTGATGCAATCACCACTCTCTCTGGCCTGACGTCCTCTACCCACTGTAAGGCAAAAACTACGGTATATGGCCATCATCTCACATGCAAACAGATAAATCATCACTCAGGTTCTTCCCACACTCATAATGGAATTCTGGGATCACTGCTGCTGCTGCTGTTCTACCAATTTTAGGGTGTTTAGATCCATAAATCTATATTTAATTGTGGTAACTGATGTATGACTTGAAGATCTTACAGTTTCCCCCACGGTCATCTCTCATCAGTTCAAGGAGGCCAAGATCAATTTCAGGCTGTGGCAATAACCAAAGAGGAACAGCTGGACCACAGCTGGAGAATAACTCCTATAACCTAATTCACTAGCCTTCTTCTGAACAACCCAACCAAAGCTCTTTGTTAGTGTTTTTCCATGTTCCCAGCATGGCTCAATAGCACTTATTGTTGGATGGTTGTTATGTACTTGTAAACTGACCCAATATGTCATCATTATCTGTATTCTTCTCAATTCCAACAGCATTTCCCCCATTTCTACCTGCAATGCCGGCACAGATGTTGTTTTAAAAGCCCCACTACATATTCTTGACGCTTGTATTACATCCAGTTTTCCTAACAAGGTTTTAGACGCCAACCTATATTCCACACAGCCATAGTCTAGAACTGATCTTGGGCGACTGTGGCTAAGTGGAGTGCAGGGCCGTCCTTCAATCAGAGGAGCTGCGGTTCGATCCCCGACTCAGCTAGGAGCATGTCGATGTGTCCTTGAGCAAGACACTTAACCCCAAAATTGCTGGTCTTTAAGTTTGGATGTCTTTTCATATATTTAACTATGTTATTATTATAATTGAGGATATAAGATTGGGCATATTTTAGTTTTTGGATGTCATATTTATTTAAACATTTATATAAATAAATATATGTAAAGATAGCGTCATTTCTAAATCATACAACCGTAAATTTAAGAAATTTAAAAACTGAACCACTGTCCAAACATCACAGCTACATAAACAGGCTACACACGGAGGAAAAGCAACGCTGCAAGTTTCCATCAGTGACAATTGTGCTTTTCTTTTAATACGTTTTGTGATGCTTCACAATCATTAATCGATGGACACATTCCAGTGCTCTGACTGAAAAAATGTTGACATCAAGTAGGATGTAGGCTTTCTCAATAAATATCTTTATTTACAGATGCTAAATAAATAACCTTATATATTATTATTGTTATTGCACAAAATGAGACTAATAGCCAACAATCTAGCGTTAAGTATTACAATTAGACAGAAAATTAGGATTTAAATTTTGTTATACTATATTTATCCTGTTAATTAAGGATAAATTTGTCTCTGCATTTGACCCATCCCTATATATGGGGAGCAGTGGGCTGTCTTTGACATGCGACACGTCAAAGGCCATGGTTCGAACGAACAACCTTGTGGTCACCAGACAACCCTCTTAACCCAGTGAGCAACGATCGCCCACCTTTTCCACTAAAGAAAATCTAAGAGCTGATTGGCAGCAAGAAGTTTCCCATCATGCCCTGGGGTCACGCAGTCAGTGGAGAGCAACTGCAGCGCCTGGCTCTAAAATCGTTGCCCACGTTTTCATGACGTCAGAGCAAGTCGGACGCAAATCTACCCAGCATGCATTGTGCGCCGATCGCCGGTGATCGATTCTGCGCACGCCTGGTTTAAGTCGAACGAGCCTATTTACTCGTTCCTCTCTCCTCGCATGGTTTCCTCCATGCATCCCTGGTGGGAGGGACTAAGACGCAAGGAAAGGACCCAAGTGAGGGAAACGGGGATGCAATTAAGAGACTTGGGATGTACCCCGAGATCTGTCAAACGGCTGGCAGGCTACTGACTTCCTCCATCGACTTCCGGGTACTTAGCGCTGGCGCTCATAAGCACAACATCCACAGGCACGCGAAACCTTCTTCTTCTTCTTTGAGGTGTAGTGGCGGTTGGCAAACAACGAATTGGCGCATTACCGCCACCAACTGGTAAAATAAAATAAAATAAGTCAGGAGAGGTGTCGTATTTTGCCAGAGAAGGCAAATATGCTCATATTTCTGCA